CCCCCCCCTTCATCCCAATTTTGTTGACCCTGTGATCCCTCCCCATCACATCACCCCAGCCCTGTGCATTGTTCCTTCACACAGCTACTGGTTGCCCTCTCTCTCCTCTATTTTTCATAGTTTAAAGTCTTCCTTAAGAGGTCTTAAAAGTCTTCCCTTGCCATCCATTCTATTGGCAAAAATGTCTTTGCCCTGCTTAGAAAAGATGCACCCCATCTCTCCATGGCAGACACCGGTCCTCAAACTGGATCCAGTTGTCATCAATACCAGTTCAGCAGCCAATTGTTGAGCTGTCCTACCAGTGCCGTCCTTTTCACACCTTTCCCCTCACCGTCAAGATTGAGGGGAATAGCACCTGGGTCCCTGTGCACTTGACTACTGCCCTCAGAGCTCTGTAGTCCATTTTGATACTGCCCAGGTTTCCCCTAGCAGTATCATGTGTGCCCATTTTTGGCAATGAACAGATGGTTCTCCTGATCTCCATGAGCTTTCCAAGATGGTACAGAATGGTCTGTGTGTCATTGATCTGTTCTTATATCACCCTTGGATGCAGCCCTTCCAGACCATGGTCTCCTCATGGCTGAGTGCTCAAGTAGCCCCTGAATTGATCCTCATCCACTGCATTTTTCTCTTCCTTGAGTCTTCTGTGTAAGAACAAAAGCCTAAAGGACCTGGCTGGTAAAGACTGAGGCAAGGACACTGAGTACCTATCTGCATCTCCCCCTGCTACATTCTGCATCCCATCTAGCAGTGCACCCACATTTTCTTTGTTTCCTCTTTTACTGTAAAAGAAACACTAGCAGCTCATATGCACACCATGGATGTCCTTTGCAAGTGCCAGCTCTAGGAGAGCTTTGGCTTTCCAAATTCTGTGCTCAAACAGTGGTTCTCAGTTCCTCTTTTTCAGCTGTTCCCTGCATCCACCTCCTATAGATTGCCCTTTTGCACTGGAGCTCAGTCATGAGTTTCCTGTTTAGCCAAAAGCTGTCTCTGGAGATGAAGGCTGTCAGTATCTTAACAAATGCACCAGAGTGCTTATTAAAACACACACACACACACACACACACACACAAAAAAAAAAAAAAAAAAAAAAAAAGTCCTAATTAGCTACAACTCTGCCCATAATTGCCTTCAAGTCCTGTGTGGCCAATTGGAGAAATATCAGGAGAGTAGCTAAAAAGGGAAGATATCAATGCATATACAAACCAAAACCAAAACAAGCAAACAAATAAACAAAAACACTTCTCTGTCTTTGTTAAATATCTTTATTTTACAACTTAAAGAATAAGCAATACCAGCTTTCTATAATTGTTATTGATTCATAGTATCTCCTGCTGAATTCTGAATGTGGAGGAAAAGGAGGACCCTCGCCACTGGACAATGTATGGGCACTCTTTAGCCACCCCTTCACCCCACTTTTATCATCCACCTGCAACTCAGAGAACTCTCTCACATCTGTGCATTTTCTACTGCAGTCCATAGCTGAGAGTTACAGCTCTATATGCCTGTTCTTACCTTACTTAGAGAACTACCTGCACACAGAAGGATTTCTCTTGGCTGTGAATGAACAAGGAGAAAACATGGTATAGCTGAATAAAATGTAAGGTGCATTCCTCAATGGTACATGAGGTACAAATTGTCTCCATGGAAGGCCACTTTCCATGGGGAATAACAGTACTGGAAATGTTTTAGAGGTGGGAAGAGGAGAGGAGAGGCAAGATGAGGCGAGGTGACGAGAGGAGAGAGACCTCATTGCATCCTTTTAGTAATCAAAGGTAGTTTGTAAAAAAGATGGAAAGTGATTTTTCACATGGGCAGATAGTGACAGACACCCAGCCTCCTGGTGCCTCCTTGCAGCCCAAAGCAAATGCCTCTAAAGCTCTGCCCGAGCAGGACGAGTTGTAGGTACAAATGTGTCCATGTGCAGGGCTGGGGCGAGGAAGATGCAGGAAGAGTCTAAGGTAAAGAAACAGAGACCTTTTCACTGCTGTATTTCATTATGCGGAATCCAGATTAGAGAAGTGTTAGTGAAGACTGGAACAGCCCTGACATGGATAAGAGGCAGGATAACGCACAGAAGCAGGTCCTCTGGTACATCCCTCTAAATATGGAGGGTAGCTCCCCTTCTGCAGTGCCCTTCCTACTTCCACAGCAGCACCTGGAGGACAGCGAGTCCTTGACATGCTCCTGTGTGGGACAGAAGTTGGCTTTTGAGGCTGTGGTCTTGGGTGAGAAGTCCTTTCCACCCAAGAAGGTATGTTAGTCGCTCAATGAGATTTGAGCATGGGACATAAAAGACGTGGGTGGCAGAAGTCTAAAGGTTTTATCTGATGTTTTGCTCTGCCTCTTCACGCTGGACAGTCTCTCCTTCCTCCCCGAGAATACTGAGATGCCCATGCAAATGGCTGTAAATAACACAGGGGAATCTGCTGCCACATCAGAGACCACCTACCCCACTGGATCTTGCAAGTGTTAAAAGGAGGCAGCTTCCTCATCTGTTTTCACAGAATGACAGAGCCACGGAATGGTTGAGGTTGGAAGGGACCTCTGGAGGTCATCTGGTCCAACCCTGCTGCTCTAGCACCAGCACCTAGAGCAGGTTTCCCAGGACCATGTCCGCACGGCTTTTGAAGATCTCCCAGGAGGAGACTCCAGCACCTCTCTGGGTAACCTGTTGCAGTACTCCACTACCCACACAGCACAGAAACACTTCCTGACATATACACAGAACCTCTTTTGTTGCAGTTTGTGCCCAGTGCCTCTTCTCCAGGCACTGGGCACCAATGAAAAGAGCCTGGAATCTGTGTTCTCTGCACTCTCTTCAGGTATTTAAGGACATTGATAGGAGCCTCCTTTTCTCCAGTCTGAGCAGCCCCCACTCCCTCAGCCTCTCCTCCTCATAGGAGAGGTGCTCCAGTCCCTCAATCACCTTGGTGGCCCTACATGGGGCTTGTTCCAGTATAGCCACATTTCTCTTTTGAATTTGATAGGGGAACAGTGTCAAAGGTCTTTCTGAAGTCCAGGCTTTTCTTTGGTGAAAGAATTTCAGAAAACAATCATAGAATGCCTTGTGATTGGCATATCACCATGCAAAGACCAGGAAAATTTCCATTTTCAGGAAGCTGTAAATAGGCATCCATAAGCAAGAAAATGGTTGTAGGTGGCCAGAGAAACAGAAGGCCAAATGCTAAGGTATGTCCAGAACAGCACCTTCCACAACACAATAATTATAGTGAATTAAAGCAAATCTCAAAATTAGGATGAAACTTTACTTGATGAAGTAGGAAATGGACTATGAGATGGATATGAAATTCGATGTTACAGGAAAAGGACAGTACCAGAAACAAGGACAGCATCTTGGTCCCTGCTTCGAGGGCAGATCTCTCCCAGGGCCAAGCTGTAGCTGTTTGGTCCCAAGGGTAAATGAGATGTGTGTCTGAGTGCCCACCACTGCCATCAGTGTCTGCCCTTTGCAGCAATGCCAGTGTTAAGAAGGGAGGATGTGAGTTTTATAGTCCTAAAGTCCATATAAAATGCAATACAAAGACAGTCGGTGCCTGTTTAGAGCTAGATTGACCAACCTGTGCCTTGCACTGGATTTCTGTGCAGGCAGAAACCAAAGTAGAAAGCTGTTTAAAAAACAAATAACAAAGAAATAAATCATCAAACTACAACAAAAACTACCAACATGTGCTATGCCACGTTTATTTCTATGGATGTAAAGGATAAATATTTCCGTCTGAATCACCTTTCATCTCTGCTGGGAAGCACAGGCACAAGCAGCACAGGAGCACTCGTGGCTGCTCCAGCAGAGGCCTGGTGCAATGGGAACTCTAGCTGGTAATGTCTGTTTCTCAGGGGGTTCTTCAGGTGGTTCTGCTGAGCTTGACGTTTTAAAGCCAGCTATAAGCAGTGACATGGCCAAGCTCTGGCATGCAATCAGCCAGGCACAAAGTGGAACGTGCCAACATGGCCAGAGCCCTACTCCTACCTCCCCATGCTCCAGCCCCTGTCCACCTGTCCAAAAGGCCAAGGGCAGACCTATCCTTCAGATCTGAGCTCAGCAGGCTCCTGGACTTTCTTTTTAAACAGAGTCCTGTCAGATTTGCACAAAGCAGGCTGAATTTTCCAGGGCAGCACTGGCACACCCCTGTCCAAAGCTCCTCTTCTCCTGACTATGCTCACTGCCTGTCGGTATCAGGCTACTTTGATGGGTTTTTCTCTCTTTCTTATCCTTCCCTTCTGAGATCTGTCTCACCAAGGGTTCCTGTGCACTGATGGGATGAAATGGGGAGACAACAACCCCACACAACCTTCCTGACATCTTTCTGTGCATTTCTTTTTGTACATCATTGTCTTGGTCCCTATGAAATCAGTGTAGTGTTTCATATCCTGGATGTTAGACCCTGGAAGTCTGCCTGTTCCTCAAGCTATGGCTGGGCCAACAAATATATCTACTGGTCTGTGCAAAGTACAATGACTTTTACCCAGTATTTGTTTGTTGGTTTTTTTTTTTTTTTTTTCCTTAGTTCTGTTGAAAGCACATTCAAGTGGTGTCCTCTCACTTGCAGTAACAATCATGCACAAATGTGCTACTACTGAGCAACACTTCCTTCATTTTTCATTCTGAGTACAGAAGAGCACTGGTAAGTTAATTACTTATTACAAAGCTATTAATTAAAGCAAGTGGATTCAGAGATGTCCCTGTCTTGTGTCTGGAGCCCTGGGAGAGAACACAGTCCTGCTGAAGTTACACGTATGTCATGGGGGGAGAAATTATGCCTGAAAATCAGTGTTCAGAAAAAACGAGGTATTTTATGATTTTGCACCTATCCAGATGTAGGAAAACTGTTTAAATGCTTGCTTGTTTTTGCATAAACAGGAGTGCAAATACCTGGAGAAATAAATAAATAAATAAATAAATAAATAAATATTTTTATCTCAAACAAAATCCTTATACTCTAAAACTACCTTTTTAAATCCACACCTAAATTCCTTAGAGAAGGGAGTTTTTCAAAACAGCAGAATAGTAAAACGTGTTTGTCTTCAAGCGAGCACTTATGAGTTTGCAAATTGTCAAAAGCTGAACAAGACAAAAGGGAATCAGTCCAAAGCCTTCTCAGGCCAGCTTCACAGTCAGCACCAGAAGAGACAAAGTCATACTTAGAGGATCAGTCAGAGTGCCTATGGTGGGGACAAGAGCCTACTGCACCAGGTCTCAGACAGTCACCTGCTGCTCCTCAAGAAGTGGCTCGTGTCTCCCCTGGGAGTGTTGAGAGCTTTGTCCACTCTTGCTTCTGCATGACGCTGAATTTTCAGCATTAAAAGTTACACCTAGGTGCTCCAGCCAAGCCTTGCAGTGCAGCCTGTGATGCCCAGTGAGTGCAAAAGGTGTCACATCTGCAGGAATGAATCATTTGCCTGGAAAAAAAGTATGGCTATTCTTTCGAAAGCAGCAAGGAACTACCAAAGGAAAATAAATAAATAAAAATTAGCAATAATCACTCCTGTAACTGAAACTAGATCCTGGACAAATATTTGCATTCCTGATGATGAAGCTTTTCTTCAGAGATTTCCAAAAGGCATTTTTTAAATCTTTGTTTCGCAGACTAAAAATGATGGGGCTCAGGAAGGGGGTGAAGACAGTGTAAGACACATCAATCAGAACACTAGCTCCTGCAGCACGGGGTGACTGGTGTTTCAAATAGATGACAGAGGCACAGCCATAGTGCACCACCACTACGGTGATGTGGGAGGCACAGGTGGAGAAAGCTTTGTGCCTCCCCTTGGCTGATGGCATCTGCAGGATCCAGCCAAGGATAAAGGCGTAGGAGAGAAGGATGAACAGAAAGCATCCCAACAAGGCAGTAATGCAAAAGATGCCAACTACAGTGCCAACCACCTCGCCACCAGCACAAGCCAGCTGGAGTATGGGGGGCACATGGCAGAAGAAGTGGTCAATGCGGTGGGACTGGCAGAACGGTAACTGGAACACAGCGCTGGTCACCAGCAGCCCCAGGAGACCACCCCCTGCCCATGAGGCAGCCACCAGCTGGGTGCAGGCTCGGGAGGTCATCACGGTGCTGTAATGCAAGGGCTGACAGATCGCCACGTACCGGTCATATCCCATCACCGTCAGGAGGAAAGAGTGCGTGAATCCAAACATGAAGGAGAAATGCATCTGTGCAGCGCAGCCCAGGAAAGAAATGGTTCTAGTTCCCAGCACTAATCCGGACAGCATCTTTGGGATGATGGAGAAGGTATAACAGATTTCTGAGAAGGACAGAGCACTTAGGAAAAAATACATGGGCATGTGCAGCTGCTGATTCAGCCTGATAACAAACATTATCATAATATTTCCAACTAGGGTCACCACGTGCATGAGGAGAAACAGCACAAACAGCACAGCCTGGAGTTTAGGAAAGTAGGAAAACCCAATAAAAACAAACCCTGGTGGAACGGTTTGATTCTCCCTTCTCATTTGTGCTTTGTCTGAGAAGAGCACAAGAAGAGCAATATTTTAACAGCAGCAGCTGTATCTTGGTGTGAGGACGGCAGTGGTGAAGATTTTGAGCATTCCCCTTTCTCTCTGCACTCTCAGTCCTATGCCGAGCACAGCATGCCTTTTTGTTCTCCACTGCTGCTTGCCTTCAAGGGTTGTGCTGCATTAGCTAAAGGAGTACACTGGCCTATCGGTGTGCAGCAGCACTGATTGCAGCTGGAAAAGAAAGAAGAGAACAGAAGTGGCATTAGTTCCTCAGCAGGCTTAGGGCACACTGCACACAAGGGAGAAGTGAGGATTTCTTACTGGCATTCATCCAGGGAGGAGCAGAATTGAACCCTGGCCACCATGGGCTGCAGCTCCAAGGGCTTTGCATGGACTGAGAGGGATGAACCTACCTGCAGACACCTCAGGCAGACAGCTCACCCTCCCTCCCGCTCTCTCCCGAGATGTTTTGACCTTGTTCTCTCCTAGGATCTGCACCCACTTGTAGCTAACCATGGGTCTTGATGGAGAGGACAAGGGTAGTCGCCTGATTTATCCTGAGCTGTAATGAAAGCGTCTTTCATCTCATTAGCAGATCTGGGCATGGTTAAGGGAAGAGCAGCATGTTCAGCACTCCCACAGGACTCTAGGAGAGTCAACCGAGCTGTATCTTAAGGGGAAACTTGTCTCACCTGCCTCTGGATGTCCACCATTCACGTATGTGTCTTTTTCTCCTAGATGGGGACAGACATTTCTTGCGATGTCTGATCACATCAGTCTTTTACCTTCAGAGGGTGTGACCCGTACTGCTCCAGGGGTGCTCGTGCTCCAGGAGGTGCAGCTCCGGGGATGCCTAGAGACATTGGTGGTGCTGGAAATTGGGGGAGATGCCATTTGATGTGATGGCCTTGGAACTGTAGGGATACCTTCCTAGAGCTGTGTTGTTTCAAGGTGCCCCCCTAACACGGATGGCATGTGTGGGGTGGTCTTGATCTCAGTGAGAACAGTGGGATATTACCCTGGCTTCTTCAAACAAGGTCTGACCCAGGCTTTAACACAGGACCGCACCTGCACTGTCGGCTCCCAGCTCTGTCCCGTTCGCTGGACATTTTGCACTGCTTGAGTTTTTAATGCGTCGTTAACCACAAGTCAGTGCAATCCCGGATCAGACAAGACGCAGCAAGAAAGGGTGAGGAAAATACCTTTAAAACTTCCTCCAAGTCAATGTCTCCTCCTGCTGCTTTTGACCCGCCGGCTGCAGGAGGAAGAGGTGTTCACTGACCTTCAGCAGGACTCTGCCGCCTGCCCAGGCAAGCATCTCCCTTGCACACCGATGAGGAGGTGATGAGCACTCACTCTCCCAGGAAGGACGGATGCACTGCACCACACTGCAGCCTGTCAGCCCCGTGATGACCCCGTGTGCCCCTTCTCTCTGTGCTCAGCCACAATCATGGCTTTACAGAGGGTCTTAGCTTGTGGGCACCCCCGGTGGATTGAGCACCGTTATCCAGGGCAGGATTCTGCTTGGCTCTTACCTGCAGGCAGCGCAGGTGCCAGGCTGGCAGCGGGGGCTGCAGATCTCCTTCTCTCTTGGTGCAGGAATGGAGGGAGGAGTAGGAGCTCAGCCCCTGTCCCTCTTCCCCACTGCAAGCCTGGCACTGGGGCTTGAAGAAACAGGCTGGGGAGGTGGAGACTCGGCTCCCTCCTTCGTGCCTCCTGAGGGGAAGCATCCCACAGGAGGCCACGTTGTCAGGAATCCCAACACGTAGCCAAACAGAGGTCAGTGCCGTGCAGCCCTGGATTTTTAAGCAGCAGTTAAACATCTGCATGGGAAGAGGGTCTGGAGCTCTCCTCAGAAAGAAGCACAGGACTGTGCTCAAATAGCCCAGCTCGGAGGTGCCGTCCCCCATCTCTTGCCGTCTCCCCAACCCCTCATCACACAGAGCACCAGGCACTCTGCCTGCAAGGCCCGGGTCTCTCTGGGGTGGCACAGGGCCACTCCTTGTGTCTGAGGTCATTTAATACTTCGTTTTAGGACTACTTCTGAAAAACGCAATAAGAGACCCAAATCACAAGGGGGGGGTTCTCACAGCTGTTTGTCTGGGCGACTCAGTACTACAGTGGAAATCCATGGATGGGCAGGCGAATCAGGCCTCTTCAGTTTCCCTCTCCTGCCATAAGGTTAGGATTCAGCGCACCTAACTCCAGAAGTCTTGCCTGGAAGTATCTCCACCTGGGCTAGATCCCCAGGTCCTCAGCCAGGTGGGAAGGCCTCGGCAGGGGACCATGGGCACACCTCCCTTCGTTCCACAGCAGGGTAGGATGCGGAGGACCTCATGTCCCTGTGCTGACTGTGTAGGGCGTGTGGGCGACCAGCTCATAAACAGACCATGTGCACAGAACAAGCCTCTGGACAGGGAGAATGCCATGGCAATCAGCATGTTACCCAGGGAGGAATATTAGCCAGATTTGTAGAGCTTAGGGATATTGATATGGTTTAGTGGGGACTGTTAGCGTTAGGTCAGAGGTTGGACTCAACGATCTTGAGGTCTCTTCCAACCTAGAAATTCTGTGATTCTGTGATCACAAATACCTCCAGTATCGGCGAGAATATCTACTCAAGCTCTCTGGGACTGGGTTTAGTTATCCAGTGCCCTGCTAGGAATAGGACATCCTGACAACTTCTCCAAGGTTGTCACAGAATCGTAGAATCGTAGAAACATAGGGTTGGAAAGGACAACCTTTCAAGATCAAGATCACCTAGTCCAACCGTCTTCCTATCACCAATACTACCCACTAAGCTACTAAATCCTATCTCGTTAAGACCAGCTCCATTCCAGCGAGTGGTCCTTGGAAGGTGCATTCATCACTACGCCACCTTTACCGTAGACTTCATGGACAAATGACAGCATTGCTCTGTGAACCCCCCCACTGCCCAAACCTGCAGGACAGAGCTGAGAGGGAGCTGTAGGAGCTGGGCTGAGCTCCAGTCCTTCCCCTGGAACCACAAGAAATGGATTCCCCAAAGAAGGGACAGCAGCGTAGAACAAGATCTGGGCCACTGCTCATGGACAGTCCCTCTGCAAATATCTTCCTCTGTCAAAAATATATAATGGGAACGAGCATGCCGAATGCACATGTGGGGTGCCAGTCTTTTTTAGGGGTGATACAAAGAGCTGGGGAAATATTTATCATCGCAGCATGCAGGGAGCAAGCGGTTCTTCCTGAGCAGCCTCCGGCTGGGTCAGCAAGAGCAACACTGGACTGTGACGCTGTTGGTTAGCCCCGGTAGGCAGCTAAGCACCACACAACCACATCCCGTGGCACTGAGGAGAGAAGGAAAGCAACCAAAGTTGTGCGTTGAGATAAAAATTCTTAAGCAAAGGAAAAGTGGAAGAAGAAGGACACACAGCACCATAGAAGCTGCTGTGAAGACAAAGAAGTCCTTCCCAGACAGACTCAGTACAGAAGCGTTGCAAGATTTTGTCACATTTACAAATGGGTAACGCTTAAATCTTGATTCGGGAATGATTTGCTCTATAAAAGATTTTATTGATTCATTTATTTGCTTAGGACTGTTTGCTTATTCCCCCGGTAAGAAGTTAGTCTGGTAGATGGCACTGGACCAGGTTGCCAGAGAAGCTGTGGATGCCCCATCCCTGGAGGTGTTCAAGGCCAGGCTGGGTGGGACTTTGGGCAGCCTGATCGAATGGGAGATGTCCCTGTCTGTGGCAGGGGGGTTGGAGTTAAATTATCTTTAGGGTCCTTTAGGATTCTGCAATTCTGTGGATGAAATGGCATTAAATACCTGGTTGAGAAGCAGCATCCAACAGCTGCATTATTGAAACCCTTAACTAGGACTCGATGCAGGAAGACATTAAACAAGGGAAGGACTTGGCTGGTTTGATTCTGATGAACAGAAAGGAGAAGTTTTTCCTTCTGCAAGCTGTTGGGTTCTTGCTGTGTGGGTGAAATGCTGTTCCTTCACCACCTCTAGCTTGAATCATTTTTGCAGGTGCGTCTTCCTTATGCAATCCTTTCTTTTTTTTTTTTTTTTTGACCGAACATGGACTCAAGTTGCTGTTGCTGGTGCCCGATTTTCACAGTGCCCTTTGTAAAGCACCCCACCAAAGGCCACCCGAAGTTCCCAGGTACCTGCCGGGGTTGTGGCACCCTGCCTGCCATTCTCCACTCCACCTCCTATTTGCTGCGTGTTCTGATTCTAGACCCACAAAGAAAAAAAAAATGAAGGTCTAATGGCTTAAAAGAAAAACACCGAAGCTACAGGATTACATACAAGAATATCCTCTGTGGGGGGGGAATGCTGGCACAAAAAGGGCTCTCTATGACAAGCAGCTGCAGTTGTGCCAGGTTAAATCCAGACAATGCAAGACTTCACAACCTCGCTGGGCAACCTGTGAGGAATGCTTGGAATGGAAAGCTGAGTATTTCCCTTGGGGGAAACGTTGACCCCAAAAAGGCTCTTTGCTCTGTGGAGACGCAATTCTGGGAGGTTAAAACGAGAAAAGTCGCAATGTGACACGCAAAGCTTTGGAGGAAGCCTGCCCGTTACACGGTGACCAACCCTAGAAATAAAAAGTCCTCAAGATCTCTGCTTGGGAGGTCACCGGTAGCTCTTGGGCAATCTCATGGATGGAGAGAGGGAAACACTTGGCTGTACACGACAGCAACTATAGGAGACGGAGCACGGTTTTATAACCCAGCCACGAAGTCTTTACCTCCTGAAAAAACTTCCTTTCCTGGGTTTTCTAACCCCACTTTTTCAGCTGGCTCCATTGATCCAGAGAAGAGGCCGTCGTTTTGGAGGAAAATCCTGCTCTTCCAGAGATCTTGGTCATTTATTTTTCTAGGAGAGCTCTTCCTGGAGGTCCCCTTCAAAGGACATCTTTGTTCTCCCTGGGGTTGCTGGACGCATTTTGCAAGTGTCTGAGGGCTGACGTTCGGGGTCAGCTTCACACAGGCCAGAAAATGCAGCAGCTGAGATTTGGTTCCTGACCGTGTGAGTGAAGTCAGCCCATAGCAAAGGGCTTCCAAATTTGGGTTTCCAAATTTAGTAATAATGATAATGATAATAATAATGATAATAAATAAATAAAAATAATAAAAATAAATAATAATTATTATTATTAGATAATAATAATGATAATAATAATAAAGATAAATAATAATAATAAAGATTTCATTGAATTTCGTATTTCCAATCTCAATGGGACCGGAATTTGTTGATTTTCTCGGTGTCGTGGGTTTAATTGGCAAGGTTTTGGTGGCAGGGGGCCATAGGGGTGGTTTCTGTGAGAAAGATCTAGAAGCTGCCCCATGTTTGGGAATCCCCCCCCCCCTCAGTGCCCCCCCCCCCAAATTGAGGCGGCTCCTCCCCCGCTTTACAATAATAACTTTATTTATTTTAACATCTTTAATTACAGACAGTAAAACCGCCCGGCCTGGGGGGGGGGGGGGGGACGACACAGCCGGGGGGCACGGTCCCCCCCCCCCCTATTGCTTATCAGGGGGAGCAGCCCCCCTCCGGGGGGGGAGGGAGGCGATCCCAGCAGCCCCCCCCCCCCCCAAGTGCCACCCCCCCTCCCCAGCGCAGCCCCCAAACTGGGAGCACTGGGAGGAGGTGGGGGGGGGGAGGGGAGGAATAAATACAATCTTCCAATATATTAAAAACGCCCTGGGGGGGGGGGAGGAGGAGGGTGCGGTGGGGGCAGGGGGGGGTGAGGGGGGGCACCCCTGGGTGCCGCGGGGGAGTCACATCATGCCCAGCTGCAGCAGGGTGTTGGCGTACATCATGGGCTTGACATTGGGGTGAGGCTGGGGGGGGGAAAAAAGGAGAAAAAATGGGGTTGGGGGGCCCAGAGGGGGCACCCCTGAAACTGCCCCCCCCTTCCCCAAATCCCACCCCCTCCTTGCACCCCCCAAAGTCACCCCCAAGCCCCCGACTTCCCCCAAAGCCCCCCCCCATAGCCCCCCACACCCCCCCGAACCCCCCCCCATAGCTCCCTCTAGACCCCCCCACAGCCCCTCAAAGCCCCCCCCATGCCCACAAACCCTCCTGTGCCCCCATCGCCCCCCCCCCCCCGTTTGCCCCATAGCCTGCTAACGACCCCCACGAGCATCCCCTCCCGCCCCCCCCCCAAAAAAAAAATCACCCCAAGCTGGGAAAAGGAGGGAGAGGGGGGCTGGAAATTTTGGAGGGGGCTGGGGGGATTTGGGGGAATTTTGGTTACCCGGGGGGGGTGTCTCAGATTTGGGGCCCCCCCCCAAAACTCACCACTGCTGTGAACTGGTGGAAGTCGGGGCGCAGGTCGCCGCCTCGCAGGTGGATGTAGGAGCCCATATTGCCCATCTGGTCACTGGGGGGGGGGGGACACAGAAATTGGGGGACACCGAGAGGACCCCGCAGAGGGGGGGCAGCGAGGCCGAGCGGTGCTGGGGGTGGGTGGGGGCACGAAACCCACCCAATCCCCCAAAAAATAGGGACACGAGGACACGGGATGGGGACTCCGCCACCCCCCTGGGCAGCCCATCCCAATCCTAATATCCGTAATCCAGGGGTCCTAATATCCAAAATCCGGGGTCCTAATATCCAAAATCTGGGGATCCTAACATCCATAATCTGGAGGTCCTAATATCCATAATCTGAGGGTCCTAAAATCCATAATCCGGGGGTCCTAATGTCCATAATGTGGGGTCTTAATATCCGTAATCTGGGGGTCCTAATATCCATAATCGGGGGGTCCTAATATCCATAATCGGGGGGTTCATAACATTCATAATCTGCGGTCCTAATATCTGTAATCTGGGGGTCCTAACATCCATAATCCGGGGTCCTAACATCCACAATTTGGGGTCCTAATATCCATAATCCGGGGTCCTAACAT